AGCCTCCCAAGTAGCTGGGACTACAGGCACCTGCCACAACACCCAGCTATTTCTGGTTGCAGTTGTCATTGTTTAGCAGGCCTGGGCCAGGCTCAAACCCTTCACCTTCAGTGTATGTGGGTGGCGTCCTTACTCACTGAGCTACAGGCACCAAGCCCAAGTTACCACTTTCACCAGGACGCGGACAATACTGTTCCCCCAGCTGCCACCCCCAGCCCCCAGGGCTGCAGTGTCTGATGGAGGCCCTTCTATCCACTGGGGGTTGTGCTAGTACTGGGCCTTTTCAGAGTCTCATGGGCAACACTACCCTGGGCCACAGTGCTGGGCAGGACTGACAGGATGCCACATATGCTCTGCCCAGGATCTTCTGCCCAAGACACTGTCCAGGAAGAGATGAGTGGGCCCTTCCACCAGGCAACTCATTGGGGTTCTCACTTGAGGTTCACAGCACTATTTTTTTTTTTTTGAGACAGAGCCTCAGGCTATCCCCCTGGGTAGAGAGCCATGGCATCACAGCTCACAGCAACCTCCAACTCCTGGACTCAAGCGAGTCTCCTGCCTCAGCCTCCCAAGTAGCTGGGACCACAGGCGCCCAACATGACACTTGGCTATTTTTTTTTGGTTGCAGCCATCATTGTTTTTTGGCAGGCCCGGGCTGGATTCGAACTCGCCACCTTAGGTGTATGTGGCTGGCGCCTTAGCCACTTGAACCACAGGTGCCAAGCCCACAGCACTTCTTAAACATGCGGCTTAACATCCTAAGACTTTTGGAAAAGTCTTGGCTACCATCTTCTCTATTTTTTTTTTTTTTTTTTTTGAAATAGTCTCAAGCTGTTGCCCGGGTAGAGTGCTGTGACATCACCACTCATAGCAACCTCCAACTGCTGAGCTTAAGCGATTCTCTTGCCTCAGCCTCCCAAGTAGCTGGGACCACAGGTGCCCACCACAAAGCCCGGCTATTTTTTGTTTGTAGTTGTCATTGTTATCTGGCAGGCCCGGGCTGGATTCAAACCCACCAGCTCTGGTGTATGTGGCTGGTGCCCTCGTCACTGAGCTATAGGTGCTGAGCTGGCTACCATCTTTTCAAAAACTAGTTTATCCCATTTCCTCTCTCCTAGAAATCCAATCACAGTTCTCCCTCGATACCATGTGGTTTTCATGCTGTGTCCAGTATTTCTCATCCCTTGGCCTCTCCATACTTAACAGTTAAGTATTTTCTTCTCATCTACTTTCCAATTCACCAATTTTTTATTCAGCTACGTTTAATATGCCCTTACACCCATTGTTTTAGTCCATTCAGCTCGCTGTAACAAAATACTATAAACTAGGCAGCTTAGAAACAACAGGAATTTATTTCTCACAGTGGTAGAGGCTGGGAAGTCCTAGGTCTAGGCACCAGCAGACCTGAGATCTGGCAAGGGCCTATTTCCTGGCCCAGAGAGCCCTGTCATGCTGTGTCCTCACAAGACGGAAGGGGTGAGAGGCCTCTCCTGGGGGGTGCTTTCTATAAGGACACTAATCCCATTCATTAGTCCTGTTAGTCCCTTGATCAGTCCTTATGACCTGACTGTCCACCAATGGCTGTAACCTTCAGTATCACCACCTTGGTGGTTCAAATTTCAACACATGAATTTTGGGAGGAGACACATTCATACTGCAGCACCCATCTACTGAGTTCTTAGTTTTTGTTGTCTTTTTCAGTTTTAGATATCAATCTGACTTTTTTTTTTTTTAAGAGACTGAGTCTTACTTTGTTGTCCTCGGTGTCACAGCTCACAGCAACCTCTAGCTCTGGGGCTTAAGTGATTCTTGTGCTCAGCCTCCCAAGTAGCTGGGACTAGAGCCACCTGCCACAACATCCAGCTATTTTTCTGTTGTAGTTTGGTTGTCGCTGGGCTCAAACCTGCTACTCTCAGTATATCAGGCCAGCGCACTACTCACTGAGCCACAGGCCCCACTCTCAATCTGATTCTTTTAAATTGCCATTTAATATTTTGTGTACTGGCGGTGCCCATAGCTCTGTGGGTAGGGTGCCAGCCATGTACACAGAGGCTGGCGGGTACGAATCTGACCCAAGCCAGCTAAACAATAATGACAACTGCAACAAAAAAATAGCTGGGGGTTGGTGGCAGGCACCTATAATCCCAGTCACTTGGGAGGCTGAGGCAAGAGAATCACTTAAGCCCAAGAGTTTGAGGTTGCTGTGAGCTGTGACATCCTGGCACTCTACCAAGGGCAACAGCTTGAGACTCTGTCTCAAAAAATAAAAATAAAAATAAAATAATAATATTTTGTGTACATAACATATGAATCGCATTAATTACAGTCTGTGTCTGATAACCCCAAAATGTAGATCTGTGGGTCTGTATTTATTTTTAATAAGCTCTGATAAATGTAGGCTGAAACTGAGGTGAATGTGCATGAAAAGTTACAGAGATAATTTGGGCTCCGCATTTACTTGTTTGAAGCTGGTGGTTAGTGGAAGAGGCTGAGCTGATAGGTTAAGTGCTCCCGCCTGGAGGGCCAGTCAGGGCGGTGTAATCCTGGCTGCCTGTCTGCAGGTGAAGCCTTCAAGAGTATAGACTATGAGTGGACTGTTCTCTGGTGGTTCCTGAATACTGGATGTTTTGACCCCTGACCTCTAGGAGCCCCCTATAGGCCTACTTAACCTCTTGGATCATTCTAAGGGGCAGCAATACAATCATGCCAGGGCCACCAATCTCCAGGCAGGCTTCCCATCCTACTGCCTCAGCAGATCTCGGATGCTTCAGAGTGACTGCACCACGCTCAGCATCTCCAGATCTCAGATGCCGTCAAAGTGACTGTGCCACGCTCAGCATCTCTGGATCTCGGATGCCTTCAGAGTGACTCTACGTCGCACTCAGCACCTCCAGCTATTCTTTTTTTTTTTTTTTTTTGAGACAGAGCCTCAAGCTGTCCTCCTGGGTAGAGTGCCGTGGCATAGCTCATAGCAACCTCCAACTCCTGGGCTCAAGTGAGTTTTCTGCCTCCGCCTCCCAAGTAGCTGGGACCACAGGCGCCCGCCACAACGCCTGGCTATTTTTTTTTTTTTGGTTGCAGCCATCATTGTTGTTTGGCGGGCCCGGGCTGGATTCAAACCTGCCACCTTAGGTATATGTAGCTGGCGCCTTAGCGACTTGAGCCACAGGCGCCGAGCCATCTCCAGCTATTCTTAAGTGTGCAGGTCCATCTCAGGTAAGTTAGTCCAGCAGACCCCACAGGCCAATGGAGTGGCCTGGCCTGCTGCTCCATCATTTGCATGATGCTGCTTCTGAGCAACTCATGAGCAGGTGGCTTAGGTCCCATTCCCACTCACTATGAGAACACAGAGATCTCAGACTCACAGCAAAAAGGACTGACCACGTGTCGGGACACAGTCTGTTCATGCACTCCCCACTTGCTGCACCCTCCCTGTTAATAACACATGGGTCAGCTCAGCACCTGTGGCTCAAGTGGCTAAGGCACCAGCCACATACACCTAAGGTGGCGGGTTCGAATCCAGCCTGGGCCTGCCAAAACAACTAAAAAATAGCTGGGCGTTGTGGTGGGCGCCTGTGGTCCCAGCTACTCGGAAGGCAGAAGCAGGAGACTCGCTTGAGCCCAGGAGTTGGAGGTTGCTGTGAGCTGTGATGCCACGACACTCTACCCAGGGGGATAGCTTGAGGCTCTGTCTCAAAAAAAAAAAACCACATGGGTCAGTCCAGGATGCAGAAATCCACTGCTGTGGGCCCAGCCTCTTCCTCTAGACATCAACACATTGGTCCCTGGGTCTCAGCAACAGGGACAATGGCAGGAGAGGGTGGCTGAGCTGCCTGGAACAAAGCAGCCCCAAACCAGGTCACTGGACAAGACCAGACCACACTGGCTGAGGATAGGCAGTGTCCTTCACACAGGGACGGCCTTCACAGCAGCCATTCTGGGTCAGCTAACAAAGTGACGGCCTCTACAGTGACTAAGCAGCAGGGTGGGAGCCCACAGAGCTCAGCACTGGCTTGTGGTGTCATCCCCAATCCTTAGCTGATGATCTAGAAATGTAGCCACTGACACTGTCAGAGGTGCACTGAGGTCCTGACGGGGTCCTCCCCAAAGAGTACCATAGCCAGGCACAGGGCAATAGCAGTGAGGACCTGAGTGCACAGGCAGGGCTGCAGGGGGATCCTGAGGCCTCCGTGGGCCTCCTGACTCTGTGTGTCAGCTTGTGTGGCTAGAGGTGGCTGCAGGGGGTGATGGCACCCTGGGGGTGTCAGGGCTATGGCAGGTCAGCCACCAAATACCAGGTGGATACAGGCACCACAAAGGTTACAGCCACCTTGGTCTGCCCACTCCATGGGGAAACAAAAGCCTGGCGACCAAAGCCATACCTGACGTGCCAGGAGGGGGCATATCTGCAAGACTGGGCTGTTCACAGGAACCACTCAGGCAGCTGCTGCCCAGACCAGTCTCACTGATGGGGACACAAAGAACAGAAAGACTCCAAAATATGGCCATGGTCACACTTCTGAGACCAGGGTGGGCTCCAATACCTCCTGCAGCCCAGAGTTTAACAAATACAGTTACGTCACATACTTCAGTTGTACAACTGGGAAAACCACAGAAGCCCACACAGGGATCCCAATTCCTCCTGGATGCAGATGCCACTCCTGGGTGCCCCATACTAGAGACACCCAGGCCACACAAAAAACAGCACTCTAAGCCAGTTGCCTGGGTGGCGCCTATAGTCCCAGCTACGTAGGAGGCTGAGCCAGGAGGATTGCTGCAGCCCAGGAGTTGGAGACCAGCCTGGACAACACTGCAAGACCCCCCACTCAGAAAACACAAAACAAAGAACCCACAGCCTTCCCTGGGCTATGCGTCTCCCACAGCCAACTGGCCACTAAGGCCAGAAAGGAGGCCAAGGGGGCCCCACCCATTCAGCATGAAGATACCCGGGTCCAGAGGGTGGTCTCTGGAATAGTCCAGTGCTCTGTGAGGCTGCCCCCTTCTCCACACTAACCCCACCCACCACACTAGTCCCAGAGAGTGCTGTTGTAGGGAACACATTAAAGGCCATCCAGGGCCTTGCTCCTCACCAGGGGCTAAGGGAAGCACCACAGCTGTCTGCACTGGGCTGCAATGAGCTCCATCCAAGACAGAACAGCCTGCAGCCCTGCCCAAGCCCCAGGGGCCCGCATCGCCCAGAGTTGTTCTTCCTGCCCACGCTTCTTGTCAGCCATACCCCACTCAAGCAGGCGTTCAAAGCTGCCTTACCTGTAGTGCAGGAGTTGGCCATCTGCGCTGCAATCCCGGTAAACCTCATAGTCCTTGTCAAGTAACACTGCTGGTGGTGAAGAACTGAAATACAGCAAAGTAAAAAGACATGACCATAAATGCAATGATTACAAAATACGATACAGTTATAATAATGGGCCTTCCCTAGAAATAAAAGTGTAGGTGTTGCTGCTTCGCTTCTGTCTCCTACAAATGAATGCCCTATCCTGGCTCCTTCCCAAGGCTGTCACTACTCAGTACAGATGGGTATATTTCTTTTTTTTTTTTTTTTTTTTTTTTTTGAGACGGAGCCTCAAGCTATCCCCCTGGGTAGAGTGCCATGGCATCACAGCTCACAGCAACCTCCAACTCCTGGGCTCAAGCGAGTCTCCTGCCTCAGCCTCCCTAGTAGCTGGGACTACAGGCGCCCGCCACAACGCCTGGCCATTTTTTGGTTGCAGCCCTCATTGTTGTTTGGCGGGCCCGGGCTGGGGATTCGAACCCGCCACCTTAGGTGTATGTGGCTGGCGCCTCAGCCGCTTGAGCCACAGGCGCCGAGCCCCAGATGGGTATATTTCTTCTACCCTTACCCTGCCTCCTTCCTGCAGGGACAGCCCCATTGCCGCCCATCCACAGGCTGCCCCTGTCCTGGAATTCTAGAGATTGAACCATTGGACTTCGGGCTACTGTTCAAACAGCACAGGGATAGAGTTAATGACAATCAATCACAGCTTCAACCAGAGGTGACAGGTGACCTGAAAAGAAAACACGGTGACAGATGCCCTTATGGAGACAGGGATGGAGCTTTGAAGGTGAGGGCTTGGAATACAGCAGGCGCAAAATAAGTAGAGTGAAGGGAACAGCCATACATCAAATTAATATGTATTCACGATTTTTAAAGCTCAGTAGTTCAGAAGTTGGAGAAAATTCACGCAACCCAACCAAGAACATCCCCATTAAACTCAAGCCCTGTGTAATACTCAGTGGCAGAAGGCTGAAAGCATACTCGTTCAGGTCACTGCAGGGTTATTCTCACCACCATCTCCTAAGTTTTACAAGTGTCACTCGATGCAATAAAATAAGGGGGGAAAAAGCAAGAGATTTAAAAATATAAAAGATAAAAATTATCATTAGCTGTTAGCTTAGAGAAAACAGAATCAGCTAAGAAACAATCATCTCTGTTGAGGGACACTATTGGTCCCTCCAGGACAACCACACACACAGGCCTGCTGTCTCTGCACGACCACTCAGGGCCCAGGTCCACTGAGATGATGCAACAATAATAGAAATGAACCACGGTCTTAGGCAGAAACTGACAAGAAATATGCTGGGTCAATATAAATAAAACTATAAAGTTTTACTGAGAGACATAAAAGACGACTTGAATATATAACAGAAACATGTAATGCTGGATGAAAAAACGACAAAGATTGGATGGCACCTGTGGCTCAGAGGAGTAGGGCGCCAGCCCCATATGCCAGAGGTGGCGGGTTCAAACCCAGCCCCAGCCAAAAATTGCAAAACAAACAAACAAACAAACAAACAAAAAAACACAAAAAAAGACAAAGATAATATTTATTTCTAAATTACTCAAGAAGTTGAAAGTAGGGCTGGTGCCTGTGGCGCAGTGAGTATGGTGCCAGCCCCATATACGGAGGGTGGTGGGTTCAAACCCGGCCCTGGCCAAATTGCAACAAAAACATAGGCGGGCGTTGTGACAGGCACCTGTAGTCCCAGCTATTCAGGAAGCTGAGGCAAGAGAATTGCTTAAGCCCAACAGTTGGAGGTTGCCGTGATGCCAAAGCACTCTACTGAGGGCAACAAAGTGAGTCTCTGTCTCTAAAAAACAAACAAATAAACAAAAGAAGCTGAAAGTAAGAACTAGATACCGAAGTTTCTCTGTTGCCCCCAATACAACTCTCAGGTAACACTTCCATTGTTGGAAGATGTCTGCAGCTGTTCAGAACTTATATGTGAGTGCCGGCAAAAAGCTGAAAAAGAATCCAAAGAAGAGGAAATTGGAAGCCAGAGCCATAGCTTCAGAGATGGAAGACAAGGTCAAAGGCACTTCCAACAGCGAAGGAAGCTGTGGATTGGAAAAGGATTGCTTTTCTTCTGATGATGAAGCAAGAGAAGCTGACAACAAGGATGATGTTGAACCCTATAAAGAAAATGAAAATACTGCAGAATCCAGTGTTGGGACTAATATGGGCTGGGCACACGCCATGGCTAAAATCCTTAACAAAAAAATTCCTAAAAGTAAACCCACCATTTTGGTCAAAAAAAAAGAGCTTGAAAAGGAAAAAGAAGAGTTAAAACAAGAAAGACTAGAGAAAATAAAACAGTGTGGTAAGAGGCTGGAGTGGGAAATGATATGCAGAGTAAAGCCAAATGTTGTCAAAGACAAAGAAACTGAGAGAAATCCTCAGAGAATTGCAACAAGTGGTGTGGTACAATTATTTACAACAATGACAAGTGCAACAACAACAACAACAAAAAAAATAGCCAGACATTGTGGCCGACACCTATACTCCTAGCTACTTAGAAGGCTGAGGCAAGAGAATCGCTTAAGCCCAACAGCTGGAGGTTGCTGTGAGCTGTGACACCGCAGCACTCTACCAAGGGTGACAAAGTGAGACCCTGTCTCACAAAAAAAAAAAAGAAAAAGAAAAAGGAATGAGTTAAGCTTCCAAAAACAGTAAGCTAGAAGCGGAATGAGAAAATCATCTTAAGTGAGGCAGAAGGAAGGAAATAAAGGTAAGAGCAAAGACACAAAGAGAAGCTCCAAACAGCCAAAAGCCGCCTCCACCGTGAGACAGTATGGTGACTTTTTTTTTTTTTAATTGAATGGTAACTATGTACATTAATGCACTTCTGGGGTACAGTGTGGGGTTTTCACACAGAATCCGAAACACTTCCATCAAACTGGTTAGCATAGCCTTCGTGTCATTTTCTTAGTTATTATTTTAAAACGTTCACATTCTGCTCGTAGAAAGATTCACTTGTACCCTTGTAAGATAAACCTCACAAGTGATCCCTCCAATTCCCCTCCCTCCACCCATTTCCCCCTCCTCTCTCCCTCCCCCCTTCCCGTATTCTTAGGCTATTATTAGGTTATAGCTTACATATAAAAGGTATAAATTAGTTTCATAATAGGGGTGTATACATTGGATACTTTTTCTTCCATTCTTGTGATACTTTGCTCAGAAGAACATTTTCCAGCTCCATGACAGTATGGTGACTTAGGAGGACCCTTCACAATAGAACACTGTGAACACTTCGTACCAATGTATTTGTAAACTTAGATAAAATGGGTCATTTAATAAACAAACATTCCATTAAATTTGATTCAAGGTATAGAAAAACCTGAATACTCCTCCAAGCTTAATGAAATTGAATCAGTACTTAATCTATTCCCACAACCACCAGGTCTGGACCATGTCCAAGTGCACCTGTCACTCCAGAACAGAGTGTGCTTCAGAGCATGGAAGAAAGAGGCAATGCTCCCAGTGCTGGTATGAAATCAGTCAAACACAGAATGAGAAGTATGGGCCATGTTTACCTAATAATATAGACAAAAAAATTCTAAATAAAATGACAGCTACGTGAATCTATTTAAAAAACAACATGGGGTCGGGGGGCCAGGGCCCACAATATAATTCTAGCACTTTGGTAGCCCGAGGCAGGAGAATTGCTTTAGGCCAGGAGTTCAAGACCAGACTGAGCAAGAAATAGAAAACTTAGCTGGGGCCAGGTGTAGTGGCTCACACCTGTGATCCCAGCACTCTGGGAAGCCAAGGTGGATAGATTGCTTGAGCTCAGGAGTTTGAGACCAGCCTGACCAAGAGTGAGACCCTTTCTATTTCTAAGAATACAAAAACTGGCTCGGCATCTGCAGCTCAGTGGCCAGGGCGCCAGCCACATACACGGGAGCTGGTGGGTTTGAACCCAGCCGAGGCGTAGTCGGACATTGTGGCAGGTGCCTATAGTCCCAACTACTTGGGAGGCTGAGGTAAGAGAATCACTTAAGCCCAACAGTTTAAGGCTACGGAAGGCGACATAGTGAGACTCTATCTTAAAAATAAAATAAAATAAATAGGCCCCCGTAGCACAGTGGTTATGGTGCTGGTCACATACACTGAGGCTGGTGGGTTTGACACCAGTCCGGCCAGCTAAACAACAATGATTACTGCAACAAAAAAATAGCCGGGCATTGTGGCGGGTGCCTGTAGTCCCAGCTACTTGGAGGCTGAGGCAAGAGAATAGCTTAAGCCCAAGAGTTGGAGATTGCTGTGAGC